TAATAATAACTATTATACTATCTGTTTCTCTGTGCTTCACGAACTGAGAGAGCCACACGGGTTAGCTTCCTCCAGGATCACGGCTTTCACAAACCGGTCGCAAATATTTTTCCATGTCTTCCGGCATAAAACTCATCTTTCTTTGCAGCCGTTGCAATTTCCTTCCATAAGTTTTTTTGCCGTCTGGTTGTCTTTATGACCTCTCATGGAGGGATCATACAGATGCCGGTACATTCGGACCTGTTCAGCGAGAGCACCTTTGTGACGAGTGGCACGCAGCCGTTGCGGAGCTTCAAAATTGCGGAGGTGCACGACCACGCGCCAGGACACAACGCGGGGCCAACGTGTGGGTGCAGGGACGCTGCGATTGCATCACTTTTGACACAAGCCCCCTCACGCCCTGTGCATCGCATCAACTATAACCTAGGCTTAGTGACGAGTTATCATGGACTACTTTATAAACACAGAGACATGGCTGTACACAGTAGGTGTGGGAAAATAAGGAGGAAATGAGGAATGGAAAATAGATACATTATGATTATTACTTTTCTCGTAATATTACGACTTTAATGTCGTAAAATTACGAATTTAATCTCGTAATAATAATAAAAAATCTTGTTGTGTGGCCCTAATACTCCGTCGTACAACACAAACAGTCTGAGGCTATTTTCAGGCTGAAAAGCTCAAAAGAAAAATCTATTGTCTCTGCTGACAGGATCTGTAGTTTTTATTTGTTTGTTTGTTGTGTTTTAGGTTTAGGATTGTGTTTTATTATTCCAGTATTTTCCCCACAGTTCATAATTGCAGTTAGTTTTGGTCACAAAAATTATTGACTTCCATTCATTTTTTTAGACTTTATATCCTAACCCTGACCATTTACCCTACAGGTACCTACCTGACCCCACAACTAACCTAAACCTTGGTCCTAAACCTGACCCCACACCCGTAATTTGCATTTGGACCCGTGGCGGCCTGGCATTGGTCCCCACAATTCACTTCGGTCCCCACTAGGCTGCTTTTTTTGGTAAAAAAAATTCTGCATGTTGTAGGAAAAACCCATCCACGCACACGCGCACACACACACACACACACACACACACAC